AAGGGTTATTTTTTCTGAGAGTTCATTTATACAGGTTAGATTCAATTTCCCTATAATTTATGTGTTATTTTTATCAAATGTGAGCTAGGTTCAAATGTGGATTAACATCTATTGTGTGGACGTGTGGACAGTGCTATTCTGTAAGAATGAGAAAGAAAATATGTTGTTTGATAATATGAATACGTTTAATCTTACATAACTATTGTCATTATCACACATTCTCACTAATTAAATCGTCTATAAAATTATTATAGACTTTTTATTATTACTCTCATTTTGTCAGAATGTTATCAGAATGTTTGTTAAGTTGTATTCTGTAAGAATGAAAATGAGTGAAAAACGATGTTTGAGAACAAAAATGAATCAGAATTATTGAGAATTGATTAAAATGACGATATAATGTGAGGTTGAACATATTCACATTAATAAATAACTTATTTTCTTAGTGATTCTCATAGAATAGCATTGTCCACATGTTGTTCATCCACATTATAACCTAGCCCTATCAAATGGATCTTAAAGAAGACCATAGATCAATTTTACCCGAACCCTTATGGGTAGACTATATTGTGAAATATTATTGGCTGACAGTTTTGTTGATAGTTGTTAATAGTTCCCTGGATATCTTTCAGTTTTCCTAGTAAAATAATCACCCTTCTAATAAATAACAAAACTCAATCAACTCTCAACTAATTAAAAATTAAAACTATACATTCTAACAATGTACGGTCATGGTTAGCAACAATATAAACAACTTATAATACTAGCAACATACCATTATAAATTGAAATTAACTATTAAAAGCTAGGAATCAATACTAGCACACGTCATGGGAGTGAGATGGTTTCTTGTCATTAGGTTAGCTACAAAACTGCAAATTTGGTTCCTGTGGTATTCAAAAAACTTTGGATAGGGTCCAAAAAAATTTCAACTTGCATGGATGGTCCAAACTCAAGGTTTTCCTTTGGTTTTGGTCCTATAATTAAGAAACTTTTGTAGTTTTGGTCCATGGAACATTTGAATTGACTGTTTTGCCCTTTAAATTTCTTTTGCATTTTTTTACATTTTCTATTTTGTAAATATTAATAAAAAATGGCCTACCCCATAACTCCACCCCTCCTCCCCCTTATCTTCATCTTCCTCGCCTCCTCTCTCACACACACATATATACAAAGTTTTGTATATCTCACAAGAACCCACCCTCCATTTCACCTAAATCTAAATAAATAGAGACAAACCCAAAGTTTATCATTTTGATTTTGAGAACATTGATTGTTTCCAAATAGTTTGAAAGTCAATTGTTTCTAGTTCATTTTATAAATTAGATAAATCGATCGGAAGCCATAATTGATTTGACTGGATGAGAGATGAAGACGAGGGAGGTTGTCTCTGGTGGCAGATGAAGGTGGTTCACAGTGGACTTCTCGAACGATGTTGGTTATCTGGATGATGAAGAATTGATGTGTTCCAGATTAATGGTACATAAAGAAAGAGGGTTATAGATCTGCATACACCAAATAAGGGAGACAAGGTCTTGTTTGGGTTTGGTTTCTCAGCTCTTCCAAAACGAGAGGTACAATGACCGCCGACTACATATCCTCCATCATATTTCCTCCACATTTCAGCATCGACATGTATCTTCTTCCTCCTGTATTCGTCAGGAAATCTCATCGAAGACGAACCTCTCGCCCAACTCTCTATTTTGGGAAAATTAAGGGAAGTAAAGAAGAAAGATGCAGATGCAGTCGACTACCACCTTCAATTGTGATAACAGGGAAGATGGAAAACTAATCTAGGGCTTGGCAGAAACACGAGAGAGAGAGAGAGAGAGAGAGAGAGAGAGAGAGAGAGATTCAAAAATGGGGTGCTTGTGTTTGATCACTGAAGAATAGGAGTTGGTTCTTGAAGGTGGGCAAAAGAAATTGATGAACCATGTTTTTTTGGGGTCTCCTTGTACGTGTAATCTTTAGCCAAAAATTGAGGTCTTTTTTTTCCTTTTGATTTGCAGGTGAAGAAGAAGAAGCGTAATATGCAACAAAAAATCGAGATTTTTTTTGTTTTTGATTTGCAGGTGAAGAAGAAGAAGAAGAAGACAAAGACAAAGACGAGAGAGAGAGAGAGAGAGAGAGAGAGAGAGAGAGAGAGATACGGTTGGTGGAGTGGTGGAGAGGGATAAGGTAATATTTTTTTTCATAATTTTTTAAATACTAACCTAAATAAAAAAAAAATAGAAAAAAGAAATAATAAGGGTAAAATAGACCTTTAATTATTTTTAGGACCAAAACTAAAAGAAAATCTTGATTTTGGACCATCTATACAAATTGGAAATATCCAAAGTTTTTTAAATACCATAAATGATCAATATTGCAGTTTTGTCTTAGGTTAGCATTTAGCAATTCACGATTAATAATAGAAACAATGGAGGTGCATCCAAAATTAGAATTAATAACTAACAAATAGAAAACAACAATGATTATCCAAGCTTTATTTAATTTAGTCAACAATTTAACAAGTGGGGACCAGGCTATAAAATATAAATATAAGGTGGAACCCGCAACCGACCTCCAAGTTTCAATCTAATTGCATTTGCATCCACCAATGCTATATCCATGGGCATGGAGCATGTATGTGTTGATGTATATGCGTGAGCATACAACTCGACGAAGATGCACTTTTCAGTTCTATAAATAGAGACTTTTCAGTTCTGTAGAGAGAGAAAAAGGAAGTAGGAAGTAGGAAGACTGAGAGGAGAGAAAAGAAATCAAGATTTATATAATCATCCTTAAAAAGTGTATAGAGGTTACTTTATCAGTTCTATAAATAGAGAGAAAAAAAAAGTGGGAAGATTGATGAGCGGAGAGAAAAAGAAAGGAAGACAAAATCATCTGTAGAAACTGTGGCTTCAAATCAGAAGGAATCGGAGAAAGGAAATCCTTTGTTTTAATTTCTCTCGTTTTCTATTCTCAGGTGCGGAAGCGTTAGGAAAGAGATATGCCTCTAGACGAAGAAAGTGTAGAGTTAGAACCAGCCACGAGAGCCAACGAGGGCACATTCAATTACGCCGCGTATTTGAAGAAATGCATCGGCCACATGTTTAATCTCCTGGAACTTCTCGGTTGCCACTGGATCAACTATTATTCGCCAATATTTGGAGAAGAAGCCATAATCCTCCCACCTCCCCTTACCTTTATAATTACTGGTTTATATGCATTTGCTGAAATCAAATCGCAGGGAGCTGATTTTCCTTTCCAAACGCATCCTCTGTCCACCGAGGTCGCCATTGCCAGTCTGCTCCTATATGGTTTGGCTTCCGCAGCTGATCATTTCATTTCTGTCGTCACGCCTCTTGGTCCAGCTTCAGTTTATGCCATTGTTGCTCGCTTGGGAAGGCTTAGTTGTTTGTGCATTTTGATGATATCTTTGGCATCTTTCTTCTGTCTTTGATATTCTAGACAATGATGTCTCTGATGTTGTTTGTTATTTTGCTCATTACCCATGTAGGTTTTTGATATAAATGAGAACACCTTGCTTGTTATATGTAAATTATGAGCTCTTTGTAAGATCATTGGTAGTGGACAAACAGTTACATCCTATCAATGATTTGTTTTGTCATGACTAAATCACTTGTTTGGGTTCTCGATATTTTGATCGGGTATTGCTTTCTCTATTCCTGATTCTCTTTTAATACCCCTTTTTATTACCATATTTATTAAAGGGTTTTTTTTTTTTTTTTTTTTTTTTTTATAAGTACCCCTCTTAGTTTTTCTATTCCATCCATTGTTTGTTTTTTTTTTTTTTTTTTTCCTTTTTTTTTTTTTGTTGTTTTTAATTCTTTTTTAATTATTATTATTATTATTATTATTATTAAAAATTTTGCACAAAATGTTAACATTCGGACGACATTATGAATTCCGATGGCTATATAAAATCGGTTTTTAAATTTTTTTTTTATATTTTTTAATTACGGACAAAAAAGTTGTTCGAATTTTATAAGGTCGTGCGAATTTATAATGTTTACCGAATTTTAAAATGTCATCCAATTTTTAAAATGTTGTCCGACTTTTTTTTTATTATTGAAATTTATAATAATAATAATAATAATAATAATAATAATATTATTATTATTATTATTATTATTATTATTATTATTAAAATATGAAATAAAAGGAAAAAAATCAAAAAACAAAAAGGAAAAAAGACAAAAAAAAAATGATGTCAAATCAAAAGTAAACAGTTGATTGGATTGATGTTAGGAAGGGAGGGTTAAAATTGGTTAACATGATACTTATAGCGCAACCTTTTATTAAATTACGGTTTTATATAACCGTTCAAATTATAATGTCGTTCTAATGTTAAAATTTTGTACGAAATTTATAATAATAATAATAATAATTTAAATTAAAAAAGAATTAAAAACAAAAAATACAAAATAGGGGAAAAAACAACAAAAGACAATAAAGGAAATATATAACGAATTTCAAAATTTTGATTTGATTGACTTTAAAAGGGATAAATGTAGTTAAAGGATACAATCGTAACTATATTATATTCTATTTTAACAAATTATTATTGGTTTCTATTTAACACACTCTCTCTCTCTCTCTCTCTCTCTCAATTTTACTTTTATTTAGAATTTAGAATTATAATATTGTATATTTTTTATAATCTAAATATTGTCTCTCCTTTTAAAATAGGCGTAACACATCTCTCTCTCTCTCTCTCTCTCTCTCTCTATATATATATATATATATATATATATATATATATATATATATATATATATATATTACTTTTATTTAGAATTTAGAACTATAATATTGTATACTTTTATAATCTAAATATTGTCTCCTTTTAAAAAAGGCTATCACATTTTCTCTATTTGTTTAATTGACATAAGCAAAACACATTTTTCTTTTGTTTCTATTATTCTCCTTATTGCCAATTACACTACTCAAAGTGCTCAAGGAGTTATTTTTAATTTCTTATCTTTTAAAATTTCGTGAAATCTGTATTATTAAGATAGAAATGAAAATAGTTAACTAATGTCTAATCACGTAATACTTATCAAAATACTTGTGACGTTAAAGTTGAATTTAATCATTTATGTATTAAAAGTTATGAGATTTGATCCGAATTCCGCCGTTTCCATTAGATTTTAAAATTAATTTTTCAATGTAAATAATAAAACATTAATAACTTCAATAATAACAATGTAGAAAACATTTAGATTTAATTGAAATTAACTCTTGTAAATAAAAATTTTAATAACTTCAATAATAATATAATGATTGTTCTAAAAGTCACTTCTAATAAAATAATAGATACAAGAAACAAGAAACAATAACATCAGTTTTATAAATAAAACATTAATAATGGTTAAATAAAACATTAAGTTGTTTTTTTATGGTGCGGCTTCCATTAGTAATGGTTAAATAAAACATTAAGTTGTTTTTTTATGGTGTGCCTTCCCATGCTCTCTTTTGTCTAGATTGAAATCAATTTATTTGAGTTCTCAAGATTTTGATATGAACCAAACTGTAATGGAATCTAAATCATTAACACAGATTTAAACACTATTTGTTTCTTGTATAAACATATGTATGTTGGTTAGTGGTTGTCTATACTCTTTGTAACAAATGAAAGGCAGCTTCTATACCTATACCCGACCATAGTCCGGATGTTGTCCTTAGGCCAGGCAGAGTGGTTGCGGCCTGGACCGCACTCCTCTTGCCACATAAGAACAAAGACCGCCCCCTGGGTGTGGTTCAGGTGCCCCTTGGGTGGGGTCCAGGTGCGGCCGAGACTGCAATGCGAATTTTGGGAGGAAGCGTTCGATGCATGATTTTGATTGGCAGCAAATTTGACCGTTGCAAACGGTCATAAATTGGGTTTCTAATTTTTCTTTTCTTTTAACCTTTAACATCTATTTAAATCTTTCAACCCTTCAAAAAAAAATTTATCTTTCTAGTACATTACCTTTCAAAAAAATCAAAAACAAAGTATTCATCTGATTTTTCTGAAGAATTTGATGTTATGTTCGACGTTTTTGTCGCTGCTGCTAAATTTGCGGAACAAAGTATGAAGCGGCATGCAGTAGGGCATCCGGCAGTGCTAAACAGAGAACTCGAATATTTATTTGTAGAAATCGTGAAGATGCAAACTAACGTCTGATAGAAGACTACTTTAAAGAAAGTGTCACTTTTCAAGGATACAGCTTTAGAAGGCACTCCAGAATGTTACCATTGCACGAACATATAGTCGAAGATCTAACGAGGGAGTGTGATTTTCTCGAGCAACAATCTCATGCTAGAAATACACCAGATTTTGCCCCTTTACAAAAATATACAGCTGCACTTCGTCAATTAGCATATGACATCCCTCATGATGCGTTGGACAAGGGTTTTAGGATATCAGCAAGGACTGCACGAGATAGTCTACACTATTTTTGCAATGCTATTATTCAGTTTTATGGTTCAACTATTTATATAAGCCTACATGCAATGACATCATGAAATTACAATCTCATCATGCTAGCATACATGGCTATCCTGGAATGTTAGGAAGTTTAGATTGTCTATATTATTGTCTTGCCTCACACCTTGGTCAATTTATCAAAGGTGATCATGGACATCCAATTGTCATACTTGAAGCGGTGACATCACAGGATTAGTGGATTTGACATGCTTTTTTTGGTTTACCTGGATCTTTAATGACATTAACGTTCTTAATCGTTCACTTATATTTAACAACATATACGACGGATCTGCACCAGATTCTTATTTCCAATTGCGTGGAACACCATATAAATATGGTTATTATCTAGTTGATAGGATCTATCATGAGTAAGTCGTTTTTGTTAAATCGTTTACGTATCCGAATGATATTCACGGAAAAAAATTCAAGAATGCTCAAGAAAAGGTTAGGAAGGATATCGAGCGGGCTTTTGGAACTCTCAAGAAATGTTGGTTTATATTGAAAAAACCAACAATTTTTTATAAGCGAGGAAAAAATGCATGAAGTCATGTATACATGTATAATACTGCATAATATGATTATCGGAAATGAAGGAAGAACGATATGTGAGTATGATGACGAGGAAACCATCCCCGCGACACAAACAATAGAAATTAGGGGTGACGAGTACATTGAAAAGAGAGCGAATGTTCGTTGCAATGAAACATTTCACAATTTTCGTATGGATTTTATAGAACACGTGTAGGAGATTCAACACATTAACCTCAATTTGGATCCTGAGGATGACCCGGAAGACGAGTTCTCGGAGGACGACTTTATATAATGTGTTTATTTTTAATCGTTTAATGTATGTTTTTTTAAGTTTGTAGGTTTAAAATATTTAGAGGTTTTTTTTTTTTTTTTTTTTTTTAAAGTTTGTATGATTTTTATTTAGACAATGGAATATAATGTTATTTTTATTTTAGAGTAATGAAATGAATGATTTTTATTAAAAATTTAGTTTTTATATAATTTAAAAAAATACGAAGTGTGACACCATTCCTTATGTGCGGTATGAAACCATATTTTTATGATAAATGGTGACGTGGCTTCTACGTGGCATTGCGATTTCATGAGAGAGTGTGACACCACTTCCTCCAACCTTACTATCTATTTAGTTGTTATTATAATATTATTATGTATTAAAGAAACACGATCTCTCTCTAGATCTCTCTCTCATGCACACACTTTTTTTAATTTTAGTTTTCTTTAATTATAATATATTTTATAAACTAAATATTGTCTCTCTATTTCTTTCTTTTTTTTAAACTTTTTATTTTATTTTATTTTTTAATTTTTTTAAGGCATATCATATTATCTCTATTTGTTAATGGACATAAACAAAAAAAAAAAACAAAAAAAAACAAAAAAAAAAAAGCAGTTTTCTTTATTTCTATTATTCTCCTAATTGCCAACACTACTCAAAGTACTCAAGGAGTTATTTTTATTTTTTTGTTTTTCAAATTTCATGAAATCTATATTATTAGATAGAAATAAAAATAATTAATTAATCACATAATACCTATCAAAATACTTGTGACTTTAAAGTTGAATTTAATCCATTATATATCGAAAGTTATGATATTTGATCCGAATTATATTTTAAAATGAGTGTTTCAATGTAAATAAAAAAACATTAATAACTTCAATAATAACAATGTAGAAAACTTTTAGATTTAATTGAAATTCACTCTTGTAATATAAACATTAATAACTTCGATAATACTATAATGATTGTTTTAAAAGTCACTTTTAATAAAGTAATAGATACAATAATCATGAAACAATAACACAGTTTTATAAGTAAAACATTAATAATGGTTAAATATATAATAAAATAAAACAACACCCATTTACATATTTATGTTTAAGGGGTTATGGCAAATCCTACAACCATGACTTCGTTAGTATATAAAGTCTCAAAGGTAGCA